AGACCTAGAGGAGCCAGACTTCTCCTCTAATAATTCTGGATGCTGTAATTCACTCTCTCAGCAACTGGGAAGTTTCCTAGGGAGTCACTGTGAGCCTAGCCCGATAGCCCTTACTCAGGGAAAACTCCCATTGAAGCAAATGGGCCATCAGTCTACGCTCCATGCTTAAACCAACTCCCAATGAAGTCAGTAAGAGCTCAATGGAAGCTTGTCTGAGTAAAAACAGAGTCTAAGCCTCAGGGTCTGGTCCATTGGGAGCTTTCCCTAAAGCTTGGTCTACACTAGAAAATTAGGTCAGTTTAAACCACATCAGTAAGGGATGTGAAAAATACACACTCCTGAGCAGTGTAGTTAAGCCAACTAAGTCCCAGTGAAGACAGCGCTAGCTTGACAGAAGAATTCTTCCGTCAACCTAGCTACTGGCTTCCGATTACCTACACCGACGGGAGAATCCTTCCCATCAGCGTAAGTAGAGTACACAGAAGTGCGACAGAGGCTGCTGTTGCGTTTTAAGTATAGACAAACCCTGAGTAACACCCGGATGAGTCAGAGTTCAGATATGGGCCCTATGTTTGTTTTCTTCTGGGTACAAACTATAATACAAAGCCACACATGGAGTTCATTAGGTTTTGTTATTCTCTCAGTCTAGTAACCAGAGATTGTATCCATGGAGGCACCCAGCTGAGCTTCAAAATAAGACAGTGGGAAGCATTTACAAAGCATCAAATGCAAATAAACGCACTGCAAAATGTCATGGTTTGGATGCAGCAGCCAATGGATTCCTAGGATCAATCAGCTGAACAGGACTATGTGATAGGAGCCATCTGAAAGCGTACAAACCAAGAATTTTTTTAAACAAGGCTTTACATTCTCTGTTACTCACTTTCATGAGCACACAGCACCTTGAAATGGGGCTCATATTTAGAGTTTACCTGGACTCCTCAGAGCTCCAGCACAAACAGCGATATCCAGAGTAATTACATCTTTATTTGCATTAATGCTTCAGTTGATCATGTGCTCCCTACTCAAAATAGCTCCCTTTGCTCATCCCGGCTTCTTCTGGCAAAAGCCTGAGGGTCAGACCGTGACACCTTTACTCACAATGAGTAGGGCCAGCTACACAGCCTTGCCCAGAGTGAATAAATTCACTTTACACCATGCCTAGAAGATCAACAGGCCATCAAGGGGGAGAAAACCCAAAGTTAAGGGCTATCTATTGAAAACATCCTGCCCTGAGCCCCCCAGTATTTCACTATCGGGGCAGTTAACCAGACCACTTTCACTGACTACAGCGGTAGTAATGGTGTCTGGGGACAGAGCTCGTCTTGAAAGCAGTTAGAACAGAAACCATGCAGAATTTATAGATCAAAGTCAACACCTTGAATAGCATCCAAAAAGCAAATAAGAAGTCAGCAGGAGCGTCTGGAGAACAGATGCTACAGTCCCTGGTGCTGACACCACTATGCACAAGCTAATGACCCCCGTGCAGCTAAATCCTACACTCACACATCTGAAAAGGCACGTTGTGGTGAAAACATTCCTCACAGGCATCTTCATTTCAGTATCCTGCTCTCCTCATGCCAGTGCCAATGGAAGTTCCATGCACGTCGGGAAAGCAGAATGCCACATGCATCCGGGCCCCCAGTGTTGCCTATTTATCTTGGAAGGCCACGATATCAAATCAGTGCTCAGCAGAAGCCGATTGCAGGCACATTCATGTGGGCCCCTTATGCTCATTTCCAAAACCCCTGTGCTGTTATTTGCACATATGCAAAGATGCACAATGGGTTAACATGAGAAAACGTCACTCAGAATGCACTCAGGTGTCAAATCAACCTATCACATTGCTCCTAATGTCTGTTTGGTCTGAATTTTTTGGTGCACAGGAAATTTATTCTCCCAGGATGAAATTCACCCCTGTGCACAAGGGCCAGCACCAGTCTGTCAGAATTCAGGGGTACATAAATCTCACGTTAACCCTGTCCACAGGCATGAATTTCACCCTGAACTAGTTAATTCCTTAAGCACTTCAAAGTCTCCATTTCATGGCTGTGTCTGGTACACTGTGTACAAAAACACCCAGGGGAGTTAAAGGGACAGACCTTCTACTGGCGTAAATCAACATAACTCCACTGAAGTCAGTGGAAGTATTCTGATTTACACCAGCTGAGGTTCTGGCCCTGGATGTGGAAAAGACCTCTTCCATCACCCAGTCCACTTCCCCGACAGCACTACAAAAAAACTAACCCAGAGGCCTTTCACGGCAGCAGGATTACATGATCAGCTGGCATATACCCTCCCAGAGGGATGCTTGTATGTTAGTTCTGCTGTTGTCATGTTTCATGCCAGGAGAGGCAATTTCAGAAGGATTTGCGATTATTAAGTAACTATTCTGAGATTACTTGATCCTGCTGCTTCCCCAGCATGCTCCCTTGTATGTTTTTGCCATTTGCTTCCATGGGGTGAGAAGTGAAATTCCCGTTTTCACGTTTTAGAATGGCGGTTAAGGGACTGGCCTACAACTCAAGAGCGCTGGGTTCAATTCCTGGCTCTGTCCCATGCTCTCTGTGTGACTCTGGGCAGGTCTCGGTGCCTGTGTTCCCCAATTACAAAACGGGCAGCGAGGTAGCTCCTTTCTTCCAGACTTTGTCTGTCTTCTGGTTTAGATGGCAAACTCTTAGGGGCAATGCCTGTTTCTCCTGCTGTCTTTGCACTGCGCCTAGCACAGTGCGGCCTGGGGCTTGGCTGTGGTCTCTATATGCCACTGAAATATAAACCACAATTTCACAACCCCAAACCCTTAGAACCAAACTGGTCCCAAATCCAAACCTAGGAGGACAGCCTCAGGCTCTATCTGGAGCTCATGTTCTTACACGGAGAGAATTCCCTCTCTCTTGCCTTCCCTCCAGGGTGAGGGATGCCTGCTGGGCTTTGCTCCCAGCAAGTCCGTCCACTTTACTTCCCTGCAGTTCCTGGTCCCTTCTGCCAGCTTCACAGAGCCCAGAGAGGTTGGGATGAAGGGCACCAAACAGGCCACAAAGCAATCCTGGGTGTATGCCGGCCAAGACTAACTCCATGGTTAGACATTATCCATCTTAGGTTGAGACTCCAATACCCTCCTCTGCTAGGATTTGTGAGCGTCTCAGACCACCTTCAAACCTTGCCGCCCACCTTCCCCGCCCACGAGAGCACTTTCCCCACAGCACCGGCTGCTGGCACCTTTATGGCACGGCACGTGTGTTTGCTATCCAGCCCAGCCACAAGAATACAAGAGAATAAAACAAACAGGAGAAGGAAGCGGACAGGAAATAGTTTGTTCTCTTTTGCTGCCCCTGTCAGCTGCTTTAGCACAATAGCTGGGCTCCTGCTGCTAGCACACATGGTGAGCTCATGGCATGCTGCAGTACGGAGAACCTGAGCTCCACTCAGCCTACAAACGAAGCATGTTGGGAGGAGAAAGCATGCGAGCAAGCAAGGCCAGGCAATATCAGCTCTGTACTTCCATCATCCCCCTGCGCCTTTGCTTAGCTTGGCACTCGCCACCCACCTCTCTTGAAATGTTTCAAGAGAACAGGTTTCCTTCGAGGCTTTAAGTCTCGCTCCTTCAGGTTTTCCATCCCCACCTCTCCCCTCCTACTCCAGTACGTGCTGGGAGTCCCGTGAAAGGCTGTGTGCTTGTCATGTCGCTCCAAGGCTACCCCCAGCCAAGCCCCCGCAAGCATGGGAGCATGAGCTTGCTTCAAACACCTCCTCCTCTCCCAATTCATCCCCCAGCTCCACGATTCATTTGGGGAGTGTGGGGGGGAGGCGTTCAGGGCTCCTCTTGCAGTGCCGGCAGAACACCTGAAATCTGGAGTGGGCAGACACAGGCATGCTCCTCTGCACACACTCAGCTGCTCATCGCATTTGCACGCCTGCACACACACATACTTTGTGCAGTCAGTCGCTCATCACACACGCGCTTCACACATGCTCAGTCACTCCATCACATTTGCACACACGCACGCGCGCACACACACACATACTCAATTGCTCTCATGTAAACATATACACGTTCAGTTGTTGATCACGCACGCTACGATCCTGCATTAGAAGGCCTAAACATCTCAGACCTTTGAAGCAGGATGGAGGGCAGTTCTCATGCCTTCTTGCAGGCTCAGTGGGGAAGAACAGGCAGAAGGCACAGTACATGAGGCTTTTCTGCCATGTGGCAAATACCCTAGGGTTTCTCCCGCTACGCCGCACATTTCTCTATCTGCAATTATCTACTCTGATTGCAGCTGCATTGAGAAATCAAAGCCCCTGCTACGACTTTACGCAATATAGCCTTGGCTATGCAGCAGGAGTATATGCAGGAATATAGCCTTGGCTATTCAGCCTCCATCTCCTTCCACCAGCAGAACTAACGACTCCCAGCCTGTGGCCACAGCTACCTGCTTTCAGGGACTGGGGTTAAGTCAATGGGCTTGAACCTGAGCCAAGATAAAACCCAACAGACTGTACAGTGCAAAAGAAGCATAATAAATCCTCAACATCCCACCACCAAAGCTGTGCAGGGATCGTGCCATTTTGATGACAACTTCCTCCCCACCCCAACACACACACAATTTGGGCAAACACAAGACACTCCAGGGGAGCAGGCAGGTACATTTCAAGGACTTAGGAGTTGATTAGTTCCCTAGAGAGCCCTAAAAACTGGCCGGGGCTAGATCCCAATCCAAGCAAACAGCCCGCAAATAGCCCATGAATCATCTCCACCTGCAATCCCGCATGAAGGAGAATGGGGGGCTGCTCCCCCCTTCCCCCCCCAGCCCCCTCCAAAGGGAGATGTTAACAGCAGCGACATCTCTCTGTTACATGCTTTGTTACCCCAAGCAACACCCCCCTCCGGCGGAGACAAGCCCCTTAGTCTCCAGGCCCTGCATGCTTTTTCCATCACATCACCCCCCACCAGGATGCCCCTTGCTAGGAATGAAAAATAAAGGCAGCTTAGGTCTCACCTGGCTCTCCGTGGGGGGGGGCAGTAGCAGTGGCTCACAAAGGAGCTATTCCTTGCCCAGGTAGCACTTGTCCACAGAAGGCTTTGGCTGGAGCCCAGGATAACGGCTGTGGCAGTTCTCTCCTTTTTTATTTTTATTTTTTGTCCTCTTCCCTTTTGGAAGGAATCCTCCTCTTTCCCCCTTATGCAGCAGTCTCCGTTCTCCCTATGACGAGCACTGATGTGATGCCCATTCATTCAGATTTTCTCCCCCCCCCCTTCCGCCTCTCTTTCCCTGTATTGAGGTTGTTAGTGATGCTGCAGCAGTGCTGAGAGCCCCTTGGGAGTACAGTGCAGAGAGGGGGGGGGAAGAGATGCAAAAAAAAAAAAAAAAAAAAGGAGGAAGGCTGCCCCCAAAACCAGACCTGGATCTGCAAGAGGACTCTGGAATTTTACACCAGGAAATTAGGACAGGGAGCAGAGCTGGGCCCAAGCTGCCACTGAACATTGCATTATCCAGCCACTGGTTGCTTGAATCACACACCAAGTGAACACACCCGAACTGCTGAAGCACTCAATAAGTTATCAGGAAGAAGCTGCAGGTTATATAAAGAGGCAGGCAGCAGCCAGGCCCTGCTAGAGGCTGTGTCGATGTTCCCGCTACACTCCTTTATTTTTAGAGGTGTATAGCTCGCCGGCTGCAAAGGAAAATCACCACTCAGAGGTGAGCTCTGGCATGAAAAATTCCATGCCAAGAGCAATTATCGTTCTGCGTTGTCTGTCGGGTTTTAACAATGGGAAGTGAAGTCAGTGCCAGGTGCCGTGTTGGCGGCCCCGCAGACTGGCGGTCCTTCTGATAAGGGAGGGAGAGAATATTTGGTGCTTTTATAGCACCTTCCCTCTGGAGATCTCAAAGCACTCTACAGACTGCAAGCCACCAACCCACTTATCACCCCAATTTTACAGAGAGGAACTTGCCCCCGATCACACAAGTGATCTGTGGCCGAACCAGGAACTGAACCCACATCCCCCAGGCAGCCTTGGCACTGCATCAGGCTGCCCTACCCCAAGCTTTTGTCATCTCATCGCCTCCCTTAACCACAGCACCTTCCTTTCCACCTTCTTCATACCACAGTGCAAGCTTCCCCCAGGCACTGCTCAGTTCGCATGCCCAACTACTGACCTGGAGGAACCTGGCCGTCAGCTGCCTGTCTGTGGCAATGTTTTAGGGGTAGCATAGATGCTTGCAGCAGCGACGGAAGGGGGTTTTCTGTCGCTGTAGTAAATCCACCCCCTCAAGAGGCGGCAGCTAGGCCAACCTAGTGGTGTTTACACTAGGGCTTGGGTTGGTTTAAGTACATCGCTCAGGGATGGGAATGTTTCACAGCCCCGAGCGATGTAGCTGGGTCAACCTAAGTTTAAGGTGTAGACCAGGCCTCAGTGCTGTTGCTGGGCTAGTTGGTGAAGTCCTCCTGGACTGAGCTCTCCATGGTGCCCTGGAGTGGCTGCCCCAACGTGGCTCCTTTGCATGCATCTGCAGCTGTGTCGGGGGCACAGCACTGGGGTGAAGAGTCCCTTTATTTTGCTTTGAATTTATTTTCTGGGAAGGGCAGTTCCCCAAGTGCTCCAGCAGACGGAGCCTCAGTTGGCCTCACTCTTGTTACCCATTTGCAATGGTGGCTTTACTGTACCATGCCCATCTCTCTAGCTCAGAAAGGGATTAAGACTACTGGCTCATTTCACATAGGCCAAACCCTACACCCCACATCCCTCACATGATGCTTTCCAGTTCTGGGAGAACATATGAGTATGTGCAGAGAGCAGTTTTTTCAGAGTTGAACAGTTGGGCAGCTTATGGTTAAAGCACAGGTCTGGGAGTCAGGAGATCTTGGTCCTAATTCCTGGTTCTGCCACAGACTCACTCTTTGATCTTGGGTAAGTCACTTAGTCCTACATTTGCAAAAGTGTCCTCTAGTTTGGGAGGCCACTTTGTATGCCTGACCAAGAAACACTCGGGTGCTACGTGGAGCAATCCAGATAAAGATTGCTGATGCTTTGAGATCCTGGGCTGGAAGCCATTACAGACACGGTTCTTAGTGTTATTGCTTTAGGCCAGCGTTTCTCAAACTGAGAACCTGGTTTTCCTAAGGAAGGCTCCAATCTCTAAGAATAATGGAAATCTACAGATATTTTCCTTCCTGTAGCAGTTTCAGTCTGGATTCAGCAAAAGCACAACTGCCCTCAGAGCCATGAATACTGAATTGACCATTTGGCTTTCGCTCAGTCCTAAGGGGGAATAATCAAGCAAGAAAAAGTAATCAACACACACATGCAGCGCTGTCCATGCACTGAAAACACTCTCCCAGAATGAGCAATTTTTTCCCCAGTGTTTCAAAGGTGGCTGGATCTCTTTGTTGAGCCTTAGGGGACAAATGCTACCTCAGAGTTGGAAAAACCCTCCCTAAATGCCTATCATCTCCAAATGGCTTTTCTTTGGAAACTGAACATTCAGAAGGTTATTTGTTGGAAATGGAGACTGCGGCCTCGAGGCATTACAGCGACAGGAATAGAATTCGACAGTGCGGGCTTCTTCAAAAGGCAACTTTCTGCCACAGATGCAGAACGCATTTCATCTCAGTTAAAGGCAAGAGAGCACCTAGCACCCAGCCTTGGTACCAGCCAGTCCTGCTCCTTTTGGCTTCTGGAGAGCAGGGCTTTCTCTGTCCTCCTGCCTCTTCTGCATCCCTACAGCTCTTGGTGTCCACCCTGATAGGTAAGGGAATGAGAATAAAGGCATGATTGCCGCTCAGCCTGCCCTCCAGGCAGAAAAGGGACTGGCTGTGCTGCTCAGGGGATCATATTCTCCGTGCCAGAAACATGAGTCGGTTTCAGTGGTTTGTTAACAGAGAGAAGCACAGCAGGGGTAGTGGAGTGGAGCAGCTAGCAGCAAAGGAATTAGTCATTAGAGCTGTGAAAAGAACAGATTTTTTGGTTCACTGGTAATCCTGAAATATCAAAAATCAAAAATTTGGATAGAACAGAATTTTTTTTTTCAAATTTTTCAGCAAATCAAAAAATCCAAGAGAATTTCATTTCAGGCCCAACAGAATGTTTCATATTTTTATTTCAATTTTACCCATTTTTAAATGTTGATTTTTAAAAAAAATTAAGTTAAGGAAATTTTGAAACCGAAAAAATTGAAATGTTTCATATTTAAATTTTTTTTAAGGGTCGTTTGGGTTTTTATTTTAGCTGAACAATTTGGCAAAACCAACCCAAATTCACCAAGCGTTTCGTGTCACCAAATCTGCATTTTTCGCCAGAAAAGTTTTTTATGAAAAGTGTCACCCAGCTCACTTAGCAATACCATGGAACTGAGCATGTGCGGACGGACACACACACACACACACACACACAGACTCTACTATGGCCATTTAGAGATAAACAATAGCCACCTCTATATTTAGGTTGCCTGGCGCATTCCATTATAAAAAATGATTGCACCCTTTTCTTGAAGTGCTCTAACCCCTCCCTGGTTAGCAACAGGACCTTGGTGTTCGGAGATGGATGCTTCTGGGGTCAAGGACGTGTCTTTTTCAGGTCTCATAAAAATCTGCCCAGATTTGCTTGAGTTGATGCTAAGCTGTCAAAGATTGCCACTCCCAGTTTGTGCAGCATCGTTGGCTTCTAGGTGTATGACAAAAATACTTATCACTCTAACCCACTGCACAAGCACAGCCTCAGTGTCTCATTGCGGCATGCCACAGGGAAGTCAAAATCCCAATGGAACAAGGACAAAAGGGATCATCCTCCCACCAAAGTACCCTTTGGGAATATGCACTGCACTGGGAACCAGAACTTCTCAACTCATTTCTACTGACTGGTATTAATAAATCTGAACCTTTACAAACCCTTGTTTCCCATTCAATCTCAACTCTGCCCTCTTTTGAATAGGCATATGTAAAACTTAATTACATGCTCACCTGCTGTTTGCTCCACAGGATGGACATTGCTCAGTGGATGAGGCAGCTGTTCAATGTTTATTTTTCTCCTCCTCATTCATTGTGTTGTCCTTGCCTTATTTATTGCACACCATCCAAACCACACACACATTGTGGAATTATTGATTTCTTCATGGATTTTTCTGCAGCAATGTACAACCAAGTGTTTCCCACACATTAATGAATTTATCTTTACAACTCTGATGCAAGAAAGCAGAGTATTATCCTCATTTTACAAAGGGGGAAACTGAGGCAGAATGACAAAGTGACTGCTTAAGGCCACATAGTAAATGAGCAGCACAGCCAGGCTTAGAACATAGGGCCTAAGCTCCCTGGCCTTCCTCCAGATCACGCTGCTTTACTGCCAGAGGCATAGAGAATGAACAGCTTCTGTTGACTTCAACTACCGTCATGTGTATTCAACACCTTGTGAAAATCAGGCCTCAGACATCTCCGGTTGGGCACCCAGGAAATGAAATACACGCCGTTAGTGGCCACTTGTGAAAATTTTAAGTGGCATTCTCATCACCACACAGGGGGCCTGTAGGTTAGCCAGGGTCAGAACTCAGTTCTCCAGAGCAGCATTCAACTGCTTTAACCAGGAGACGGTCCTTTATCTTCCTGCAAGCCCTTGCCTCATTCACTACATGCCTTCCAACGTCTACAGCAGATGAGACAGGGGTCATACAGACAACAGCCCCCTTCACTCCACAACCCTGCTTCAGCCCCTGAGCCCATCCTGTGCACTGAACGAGGCAGGGGTCCTGTGAAAAAAAATATAATTAAAGACTGTTGTCCTAATTTATATGCACAAGGGTGTTGAATTAACATTGCACAGGCAACCACAATTCTGACATTTCCTAACCTTGGAGTGCTTGACTCTGCAACCTAAACAACATTCTTTTAATGTAGATTTTATGTCTGTAGTTAAATTTAGACTATTCCTAAAGGGATGGACTCGTGCAGAACAGGGGGTAGGCAGGTTGGTGGGGATGACGTGGGACATCTCAGCCATATGGGAACAAACACTGATTGTCAACATGAAAAGTGACCTGGCCAAGTGTTTGCCCATGTGCCATACAATGTAAGGGGAGGATATGAATGGGGGATCAAGATCTCAAAGTGACAGGATAGATCAGCTGGTTAGTAGCCTGGGAGAAGTGGGGTGATGCAGCAAAGGGGAGAGGAGCTGCCTACCTTGGACACTGACACAGGGCACATGGGCAGTCATGTCACCAGGATGGAGTGCTTTGTTTTTTGCACAAATGTGAGCTCAATGGAACAACAGAGACATGACTGAGCT